ACTGGTTAATGGCAGGGTCTGAATCTGAAAAAAATCCTAATATCCTTCAAGTAGTCACTTAACTTCTTCCATCTTATTTCCATTCTCCCTATGTTATGTATGTATGTAGGTAGGTATAAACACCTACCACATACACACACGTGTTCTATATTTTTATGATTGAATTTCTCTACTGAATTTATCATTTCTCTCCTTTTCCTCTTATTTCTCTGTTGAAAACAAATACTGAAACAAAGTTTTGCTTTGCAATTATTAACAGAAGAATTTTCAAGCTAGAAACCCATGTATCTTCCCACACAGTCTATTATCTTTATAAAGTAACAGAATGAAACAACCAGAGATAATGCTATACTTCTGCAAATAAATTATTTCAAATGACTTTTATCTAACCCTCATGCATATGGAGACTGTGGACAGGCTTCTGTTTTTTCTCAAATGCTCACATAAAAAATAAATTATTGTTCGATGATTAGTTATACGATAAAGATGAACATTTAATATCACTGCTTTTTAACTAGACTAATAAAATTGACATTTACTGTTTAACTGGATTAGACCCAGTTTTACAATACAATTTCATATACTGGATAACCTGGAGAACCTAAAGAATGGTTTAAACAAATCGTTTTTCCAGAAAACAAATTATTATTTCACTTCATGTTATTTTTTTATAGTACATATGAACAGAACAAATTATTTATGCACTAAATTATATTTTTTATTATTTATTTTAAACATTTTAGTGATAACCTTATGCCTCTAACAGTCCTTCACCTTCTGAAAGCATGATCCTGAATTTCCTCTTCCGGTATAAACCACAAAACACGATTTTAGGTATATAATAATCTACCCACTTAAACAATCAACTTCTACATTTGGGCATAATTACTTTATAATGCATGATGAAATGAATTACACACATCCTGGGTAGTGTGCTTCTTAAAGTCCATCTAACAATTTAAAATTTAGTAATGCATATGAATATGGCATCCGAAAATCTGGTCTTTGTATATTTCAGAGCTCTATGAATATTAAGGTTTTTTGCTTTTTCACAATTTCATTAACAGTTATAAATTTAAGGACATAATGAACCTATGAGTTGTAAAAGGGTCTCAAAACAATCTAGGATATTCAGGGTTTCAAGAGCAAATTGTATCAGTCGGGCATGTTTCTTAATTAACTAATTACAAACTCAAATAGGAAGTTTCTCAGAGCCCAAAGTTCTAACTGTAAGGCAGGAATGAGGTGTATTAATCTCAGAAAGGCTCCACAATGGGAGAATATTAACACTGCCTGAAAATAGTTACGGCATTTTCAAAGTTAGCAGAAACTTCTCAGATGTTATCACTAACATAGTTTGTAGATATTTTATTACCCTTTGGAAAAACAAGTTCATAAAAATACTATGTCAATAAAATATATACACCTAATATTGTATTAGTATGTACTGGTAGCACAGGGAAGTAAACCACTTATTTTTAGAGATTTTCAAAACCCTCACTCATCACCACTGCTACAAAAAGTACAAGTTTAGCACTACAGGAAATAATGACCAGCAGAAAATGTCCATTTTGTTATGGCAGGGGAGAATATTAGAAAGGAAACTTTAGTTTAATAAATTTCAAAACTGTACAGACAGAATGAGCAGTACTAGCTTTGGTGACACTATCTGGGATACTAAGAATATTTACCTGATAGGAATAAGTCACATAAATATAGAAGACCTTAATAAAGAATTGTAGGATGGTACTCTGAACAAGTTTTCTCTCACGATGTTTTTTAGAAACTGATCCTAGCAACTGGTTGGATAGAAATGGTCAGAAATACTGAATGCAATGTGTTAAATTATTTTTAATGTTTAGAACCCTGTCAGAAAAAAATGATATTTCAGAAAAGGTAGAAGTAATAGAAGTATAATATATAAGTAAAATGCTTTTTTGGATGTTACCTCTGTGAAATGTCATACAAACTTCCAAGTCACACTTAAAAATCTGGAATTACATATGCATTGTGTTCCTTTTTCATTTTTGTCAACCATTTACATTTTCACCAATGTTTGCAGATCTCCCCTCTAACAGGGTTTTCCTTGAACTTACGGGTTTAGTGATGAACAAAAATAATAAAATATCTTCCCTATAAGAACATACAAAATGACTACACATATAAAATACTATGTTACTAATATATTTTAAGTAACAATATTCACAAGTGTCATACCATTTGACACAAATGGAATAAAAGAAATAACAGTATATTGTTACTAATATATTTTAAGTAACATATTCATAGATGTTGTACCATTTGAAGCAAATGGAATAAAAGAAATAACAGTAAAATTTACTGTAAGCAGTAAAATTTGGTGCATTAAAAATAACAAAGAAAATTATCTTAAATCCATAGAGGAACTAAACACTATTCCAAGTACGTGTGAGAGGCAAAAGCAGCAAAAGAAACCTCCTTGATTTAAAATAAAATCAATCTAAAATTACAATCTATTTAGAAGTAATGAATGGCCTTTGTATTAAAATATATGAGATAGTCTCAGAGTGGTGGTCAAATAAAAAGGTAAATATGTAAATGTATTTGTTGGAATATGTGAAAGAATACATACATATTATCAAATATTAATTTTCAAAAACCATACAAATATTAAAAAATAAATAAGGGAATAATAAAGACAAAACAATTTAAAAGAAGGTATGAAAACCAACATTAAAGAAAACATTTGTGCTTTTCAAAGACATACAAAGTAGAAAAAAAGCCTCTGGGAAATACTAATAAGAAAGAGAGAAAATAAACAGCAGAAATGAAAAATGGGATAGCACACAGATATAAAAAAATTAGTCAGCTCAGAGTGAAACTACATGAATTACATTAAACAGGGAGTATGAGAGATAGGTCAATAAAATTACATATTATGAACCTTTCCAAAAAAATGATAAAGTGTCCATACATTATGTTTAAGGTTAAAAAAAAAAAAAAAAAAGCTCATATATATACATAGTACATAGTCAAAAGACTTAAAAATGTAAAGAGCTTAAAATATAAGCCAGAAGAAAATGTCCAAAAAAAAAGTAGTAAACTGAGATCTAATACAACTTATTGAAATAAAAATCAAAGATTCAAAAATCAAAGATTCAAGAAATTGATAAAAAACAATAGCTTGGCTATATAAAGTTAAGCTAGGCTTGGGAAAAGCATCTTGAATGCAATCTAAAGAAAAAGATCAATTGTAAATACAAAAGAAAGTTTACATGACATGAAGAAAAATGTAAGAAAATTTAATTGATGTCTAATTGGTATCTTAGAAGAAGGTAATACAAAAGAGGTAAGAGTGCTTTTTAAACAGATAAAGCTGAAAATACTCCAGAATTTCTGAAAAAGTGGCAGTTTAAGATACAGAAAGCCCAACTAATTGCAAGCAGAATGAATGAATAAATAAGTAAACCAGAATCCCAAACTATTCACAATATAGTAAAATGATAGAGCACTAAGTATAGAAGGTTTTATAAGCACCCCATGGGTAAAAAAAGTTCATAGGAAGGTCTTTTAAACTGACAGCTGACTTCTCATCAACAAGGACCAAAACCAGATGACCAAAAATCAATGAGTTAATCTTCAATGTATTAAGTCAAATTGCCTACCAAGCATTCTCTACATAATAAAACATTTCTCAAGAATGAGGACGAAATAAAAATATTTTCATAGTAAGAAAAAGCATTATACAGTCTACAAACTCTAAGGAAAATTCAGACACATTTATTTAGGTGGGAAAAGTATTTCACATAAAAGTTCTGAAAGGTAAAAATAATGTGGGCAAAAATAGTAAGTAAATTTAGTAAATATAAATAAGGCACTGACCATATAAAATAATTTTAAAAATTAATTTTTGAGAACACAGGCTAGAAGTAACAAACTGGACAAAAATATCTTAATAGTTTAGAGTGGGATAATCTATCAATGGTTACAGCTATTTAGGATTCATTTATTAAAAAAAGATCAAGATTCTTTAATTAATGAGACATTGTTAACTATGAAAGCTAAACTAGCAGACAAGACCTTCTAAACAAACAAACAACAACAAAAAAAGCATGAGAATAAAACAATAAAAAATAAAACTAAAAGACACGAAAGGGATAAGTAAAAAACCAAGAGAGAGAAAATAAAAAATTGACACAACTACAAAATCATAAAGACAAACATGGAACTGAATTTCTAAAAAATAACATTTTAAATGCTATATACAAGTCGTAAATATAAAGAAAGGTTGAAACTAAAAAAGGATGGAAATTCAAGTGAAAAGATGTCAAGCAAAGAGTAACCAGAACTGGCAAAGTTATATTAATATATTAATATAGTTTTAATATTAAAACTATTAGAGTTCAAGGCTAAACACAGTAGCCTAGAGATGAAGTAGGCTACCATACAAAGGTAAAAGTTCAGTTCAGAAGAAAGATATAAATATAAAATTATATACACCTTAAAAAAGTAAAAATATGTAAATATTTTAATAGTATAAAGCAAAGTATTTATATATAAAATATTTTAATAGCACAAAGCAAAATATTTAATAGCAAAAAGCAAAGTAAGTAAGCAAATGGAACTATAAAGAGAAATGAACAAATCCACTATCCCAGTTGAAGACTGTCCCACACCTCTCTCAGGTGATACTCAGACCACAAAATATAGAAGATATAAATTGAAAAAAAAACTACAGACATAATCTAATAGGAAATACTACACACAATCTAAAATGCATTCTTTCTAAACTCATGTGAAACATTAAAAAAGGATACCACATCAAGGCTATAATTCACTCACCAAATTTCAAAGTTTGTTATGTAAATGACATCCTCTGATCAAATTAAAATAAACTTAGATTATCCTCCCACAAACATACAGAAGACCAAATTATTTTTCAATTAAACGTATGAATCAATGAAATAATTATAACAGAAAATAGAAAATGCTTTGAATGACTGTGAAAATAAACTCAAAAGAAATGTATAGCCTTAGATATTTATTTCAGAAACCAAATAATGATCCAAATACATGAGCTGATCATCTGATAAAAATAAGAGTTTACAGAAAACCATCTGAAAACAGAAGGTAGGAAATGATCAAGGTATTACTAGAGGTCAATGAAACAAAACATACAACAGTGGGTGACAAAAGCCAATCTCTGATTCTTTGAAAAAACTAATAAATGAACATCTGAAAACAGTGATCAAGAAATGTTTTAGATAAGGCACAAAAAGATACCAAGAATGTTAACACTAGGCTATATATCTTAAAAGGGTCAGATGAGCTCACTGTTATAGCTCTGGTTCACAGCAAGAACCTTAGCACAAAGGACTCAACAAACATTTGGATCCATGAATACAATTTGGATTAGTGAATAAATTATCTTCCCTGCATATAACCACCTGCCTAAAATAATCTCCTCCTCCTTGAATTAAATTCAGCATGTCTGCATCATAGAAGGAAGCAACTCCTGAGGCACAAGGTCAGTACCCCCTCCCCATCTGCACACCATTTGTTCAAACCAGTCCCAGCTCCTGCCATGTTATTGGCTTCTTAGTATCTGTATTAACAGTTCTGCCTGCCAGCATATGAAGATGAAGAAACAAATATGCAACTGAGAGAGATCCAGGGCTTTTAATCCACAGATGCCAGAGCTTGTCCCACCTGGGTTGTAGTCAGAAATCAGGCTGAACTCAGGAGTTCACAGTCTTTCTTGCAATGATGATTGTGTGTGTGTGTTGGGGGAGGGTCAGAGGACTGAGGACTGGGGAAGAAGAAGACAGGAGTTAGCTCTGGGTGTGCTGAGCATGGGAAGGTGTTAAAATTGTAACATAAGCTCTTTCCTGTTCTCACCACCTATCTGCTGCATGGGTAGCAGAGCTCAGATGCACAGAGAAGTAAACCAGGCTTTCTTTCCCCTCCTTCCACACTCGCAGTCCAAATACACCAAGGCCCGAGTTGGGCGTCTGACCTGTTCTAGGATCTTTCTCCATGCTGTTGTCCTCCAGGGAGCCATGGCAAATTTGAATCTAGAGCAGGTTGTAGACCATCAGCCTTGGAGAAATACAGGATAGACAGTGGATAAGGCCAATCTCCCAGCTTCTCTCCACCTGCCTGCCCATGCCCACTTGTTCCATCTCTCATTTACCTTGGAGGACACACCAGGGTCTCTCTCCATGATGTCTCCTATACTGTGCTCCTCGGGTCGAGCCAGCTGCTGGGGTTTATCATCTAGAATATTCTCTGCCTCAGCGGCAGCTTCAGGGAACAGCAGCTTACCCTGCAGGGTATACAGAAGCTGGAGGAAGGTCTGGTGCCTACAAAGAGGAGGTAAGTGTGAAGGGAAGGAATCTCAGCTGAACCATTCTGAATCTGCAGCCAATGCCCCCAGCCTTACCTCTGTAGCTTGTCCCGCTCCTGTCTTGCTTGCTGCTTCAAGTTTCCAAGTTTCTGAAACACCCCCTCAAGCTCCTTCTGAGTTCCTATCTTACGCTCCCTCACCTGTGCAGAAACCTCTGCCAGATGCTGCAGACGCTTCTCCTGCCAGGAGTGAGTGTGCAGACATAATATATCAGATACTGAGGTTTTAGAACCATCCCTCTAACCCCTCCAGCCTACATCCAGCTCAGGGCTCAGACTCACTGATGAAAAGAGGGACTCTATTCACTTCAGGATAGAGTAGGGAGCTAGAGAAAAAGAAATATCAGAATGAGCTGTTCTAGGGTGAGGCATTCTTTGGGGAAGGGGAACGAAGGTGATGCTAACACTTATTTAACTTGCTATGTGCCAGGTACTATTTTAAGCACTTTAATAACCCTATAGAGTAGATGCTATTATTGCCTCCATTTCAGATAAAGAAATACAAGTTAGGTGACCTGCCCAAGGTCACCCAGTGGTAAGTGGTGATACTGAGATTCAAGCCCATGTTGGTATTTATATTACAGTGCCTCAAACGAGAAAGAAAAATGAAGGTTTTCTAGGTAGGGGATACTGTCCATGCAATAGCATGATGGTGGGAAGAGATACTCTCCTAGGTGGATCAACCTACCTGTTGTAGCTGCCACTGCTTCTGGGCTGCTCTACGTTTCTCCATGGCCATTTGTTTCTGCAGATAAGCAAGGGAAAGAGAACAGAAGAAGTCTATTTTTGTTTGGAATTTTGAAAGATTGCAAGCTGGCACAACTCAGCTTGCTCACTCTTTCCCTCTTTTTACCTAACTGCCCTTCCCTCCCCCTACTCAAGGTCCCTGGGTGTACCTTGGCCTGGAGCTGCTCAAATGCTTCTTGGAGTTGTGTCCGTTTCTTCTGGGCTTCCTCCATCTGAGTCAGGGACTTGGTGAGTGCAATTTTGATGGCCTCCACGTTCTCTCTATAGGTGGCCTTCAGCTCTTTCCATTGTTCTTTGGCTGCAATTGCCTTCTGTCCTGAATGAGCCACCAGGAATAAGAACATGAGTGAGGGTGGCCTGCTAGACTGCCCCCTTGCAACACTGGGCCTCCTTCTTCCCATCAGCCAAATGGGAGACCTAACTGAAACCCTCCTATCTTCCCCACTCAGGCCAGCTGCTACTCCTATCCTTTGCCTACTCACGGCTCGTGTCTTCAGAAGCCAAGGGATCCAGACCGTGGGCAGTGTCCTCCTGAGCCAGAAAGTTCTGCAGGAAGTCCACCACCTGAAGCTGGCTGCAGAGCAGCTTGTCTTTCTTCTGGGAGTCCTGCTCAGAGGGAGGGCAGAGACAGGGAACATCCTTACCTCTTTATAGGTTTCCTTAAAGGCTGCTCTCTACCAATGCTGTCCTGTATCTCAATAAGAGGAGCCAGGACCAGACCCTGGCTTCTGAAAGGCTGGCTCCCATCTTGTACATACCACCACAAACTCAACCAGGATCTTGGTTGACAGTTCCGCCTCCTCCTGGAGGCCTACTGGTTCCAGGATGCCTGCTACCTCAGTCAGGACCCTGGAGGGGCAAGGAAACACAGGGAATTGCATTTTCCTGTGGTGCTAATTCTATAGTACGCATGTGTACACAAACACATGTTGATGTGTATATGAGTATTGAGAGTCTTGCCTTGACCAGGGTTTACACAAAGGCCTTAAGGGCCTACAGACTGCAACCAGTAATGGTATGCATGGAGGGCATACAGTAGTAATATGTGACAAAAAGAAAACAAGCAGGGCTAGAGTATAAGGAGTTTGAGGAAAGCGCTGAGATTTTATATAGGGAGTGTCTCACTGAATAGAAACCATTTGAGTTAGGATGTGAAGGAAGCCAGGGAGATATGCAAGGAAGGGGAAGAATGCTGAGCCTTGGAATCCCTCCTGGCACTGAGCACTAGCGTTGGGGCAGCGTCTTGAAATAGCCGAGAAAGGACTCAGGGCAGAGGGCTGGATGCCTTGGTGTATTCTAGGATTTTTCATTGTTAGGGACTGGAGCAGTCTACGAGAGGGCAGGGATGGAGATACGAGAAGCAATTGGGGAAGTGTCGTTTGGGACAAGAAGACAGAAATGAAACTGTCTCCTTCTAGAGCACACTCTGTGGAGTATGTGTATGTGGGGAGCGGCGAACGGTCCCTCAATCGCCGTACTCCTGGAGCAGGCAACAGTCACTTCGGGAACCTAAGACGGGGCTGCAATGAAGATCACTTCACGGCAGGGTCGAACCTCAACAGCTGTACAGGATTGGGGGCACCAATTGTTATACAGGGGAGCCCATAAGGTCCTCCCAGGCCCACCTCGAGCTGCCACTTGGCCGCAGACACTTACTCTAGGACTGCAGTTTCCACCTCAGTTTCTGCCGCCTCCATCTTTCCCGGTGCCGCGTTCAGCTACCTTCCCACAATCCCTAGGTGTACTTTGAATTCACAGTCGACTTCGCGCCGGGAAAGGCGATTGGTTGCGGGGGTCAGTGGGCGTGCATCAAGGACCATTGTGCGCTCTAATTGGCAGGCGCGGATTCGCAAACTGGCGCGGGGCGGTGCTGGACGCAGGCGTAGTTTTGGGTTCTGCGCCTGCGTGCTAGACAGTAAGCGGTGCCAGTGACGAGCGGGCGTTCACCTCCGTTGCGCGCCTCCCAGAGTTCTTGTCGCTCTACGCGGAAGAAGGAAGGCATCTCCTTGAGTTTGCGTTTTCGGGAAAGCGCACAGCACTGACACTTTATTTGAAATATCTACCACTGCTTCAGAAAAAAAAAACTCAAAACAGTGGGGCTGTTTCTAAGACGCTGGGAATCAGTAACGAAGAATAGTGATCCGGGAGATGATCTGAGCTCAAAAACCTGCTGCTTTCAGGGATATTAATGTTTTATAGATGCGCTGCCGGACAGCGAACTCAAACAGAGCCCAGCGGATTGTCTGCATTGGCAAAATAGAACTGATATTCTGTGGAGACCAAGGTAGGTAACGTTCTTTGCAGAGTATAGGAGAAAGAAAACTGCACAGAGAGAACTGGAGTTCTGCAGTTTTCTTGAGTATCCATTCAGCTGAGTCCTGAGCAGTATGTGTCTCAAGAAACTACCCAAAAGATTTTTAAAAGTATCTGAAAATGGCCGGGCGCGGTGGCTCACGCCTGTAATCCCAGCACTTTGGGAGGCCGAGGCGAGTGAATCACGAGGTCAGGAGCTCAAGACCAGCCTGGTCAAAATGGTGAAACCCCGACTCTACTAAAAATACAAGAAATCAGCTGGACGTCCTGGCGGGCGCCTGTAATCCCAGCTACTCGGGAGGCTGAGGCAGGAGAATCGCTTGAACCCGGGAGGCGGAGGTTGCAGTGAGCAGAGATTGCATCACTGCACTCCAGTCAGGGCGACGGTGCGAGACTCTGTCTCAAAAAAAAAAAAATATCTAGACATCGCAGAGGATCAGAAATAGTCACTATTTCCACTAACCAGGCTGGAAAACTTTATAATCCATAGGACATTGGACAGAGTACCCTCAAAAAAGTTTTGATTTAGTAGTTATTTAGTAGGCAGTAATTAGTCCTAGCTGATCAGTGCTCTAGTGCCATCTAACTCTTAAAAGTAAGACCCAAATGGATCAAACTTAACAAATCATGACAGATGACAAGACCAAACTTCAGTAGTGTTTATAGAAGTAGAAAAATGTTCACCAACCAGTAAGGTACAATTTACATATGGCATGCAATGAAAAATTACCAAGTTTGCAAAAAGAAAAAAAAGTAAACACATAACGAGCAGAAAAGCAAATTTGCTGATCAGAACTGAAGTAATATTAGAATCAACAGACAAGGACATTAAAACAAGTTATTGTAACTATATCCCTTATCTTCAAAAAGATAATCAGAACTATAATGAAAAAGATAAGTGGTGGTAAGGATGTGAAGAAAGTGGAATTCTCATGTTGATGGTGGGAATGTAAAATGGTGCATATGCTTTGAACATAGGGTTACCATATGAGTCACAATTTCGTGCCTACTTATATATCCAAGGCAAATAAAAACATGAGCACACAAAATTACACAAACTTCCACAGCAGCATTATTCACAAAACCTGAAAGAAACAGCCCAAAAGCCCATTAGCTTGTGAGTGAAAACGCATACTTTCATTCAATGAAGTATTATTAATCAGTAATAAAGAGAACTTTATTACATGCTAAATAATGGTTACTACATACTAAATAATGGTTACTACATGCTGAAATATGAATGAACCTTGAAAACATAGTGAAAGAAACTAGTTACAAAAGAGCACATAATATATTATTTTATTTATGTGAAATGTCTAGATTTGACAAATCTACAGTAACAAAATAAATTTCTATAGTGCTTGTCCAGGGCTGGGGATTGGTGGGGATAAGAGCTTGAGAGAGTATTGGGAGGGACGGCAAATAGGTATAGTGTTTCTTTTAAAGGGCTAAATAAAACGTTCTACAATTAGGCGGTGGTGAAGTTTGCACAATTCTATACAGAAAACCACTAAATGTACACTTGAAACTGCTGTCATACAAGCTGTCAAAAAAAGTTAGAGACATGAAGCTTGTAATAAAGACCTAAATCAGACTGGTAGAGATGAAAACTACAATGTGATAGATGGAATGAGATGGTATTAATAATATACTAAGCATTGCAGAATGAAAGTGAAGCATAGCTCTAGAGAAACTACGCAAAATGAATCACAGAATATTAAAAAATGAAAATAAAGTCACATGAACAAATCAATGGTGACCTGTAAGACTTCTAACAGCCTAATAATATAGTTGAAATTGGAGTCTGAGAAAGAGGCAAAGAGAGAGGACAAGAAAACATAAGTAATAAACACCAAAAAATTTGAAATGTGATGAAAAATATGAATTCATATATTCAAGAAGCTTCACAAATCCCAAACACAAGAAATATTAAGAAAATGACATCCAGTTATACCATAATTACATAACTCAAAAACCTTGATAAAGAAAAAATTATAAAAGTAATTGGGGGTATTGGGGCACATGTTACATACAGAGAAACAAGATAAGGATTATGGGAAATTTCTTGTTGGAACAATACTAGCAAGACAGTAGAGGAACATCTTTCAAGTACTTAAGAATCAAAAAAGTTAGCCTTGATTTCTATTTCCAGCAAACACCTTTCAAAAATGAAGGCTAACTAAAAGCATTCTTAAACACAGAAAAGTGCAAGGAAATTTTCAGCATGAGATACACGCTACGAGAAACATGAAAGAAGTTTTTCAGGCAGAAAAAAATGACATTAGCTTCAAATATGAATGTATACAAAGGAGTGAAATGTGGTCCTGTCTACGTAGGAAGCTGAGGTGGGAAGATCACCTGAGCCCAGTTCAAGGCTGTGATGAGTTGATCATATCACTGTACTTCAGCCTGGGTCATAGAGTAAGACCCTATCTTTAAAGAAAAAAAAATTGTGATGTGGGATTTATAGCATACATAAAAGTAAAATGTAGCACAAAATGTGGGAGAGAAGAAATAAAAGTAAATTATACGCTTGTATAGTTTGTCTGAAGTTGTGTATCATTTGAAGGTGAACTGATAAGTTAAAGCTGTGTACTGGACTCTGAAGCAATGGTGCCAACACATCTTAGAATGGCTACCAATGAGTCATTTCCTTGTGTGATGTTTTTTCTTTCTAGTACAGAGAAATTGTGACCAATAGAATACAATAAAGGTGATGGGGATGTCATTCTATTGATTAGGTTGCTTATTAGGCCGAGGGGGATAGCATGCTACTCTCATACCTCCATTTCCATATATAGCAGAGGCTTAGTGGACTGCACACATACAAAAAAGAGGGATTCTCCTTCTGGCTTGGAAGAAGCATACAACGATGTTGCAAATTGCTTGTGGTAAGTACCACATGGCAAGAAACTGTGAGTGGCCTTTAGGACCTGTAAATAGATTTTAGCTAATAGCCAGTGAGTAGGTGGGGCCCTCAATCAAGCAGCCCTGAGTGGATTAAGTTTCTACAAACAAATCAAAAATAATACTACCCAGTTAACATCTTGACTGAAAACTTGTGAGACCTTGAGAAGAATGCAAAATCTTGACCCAGTAAAACTGTCTTAAAATCTTGACTTGTAGAAAAACTGTGAGATAATAAATGTGTTTTTAAGATTCTAAATTGTGATAATTTGTTACACAGAAATAGAAAACTATTATAAACTTCTAAAATAATTGTAGCTAACAAATCAATAAAGGAGATAAAATAGAATATAAACAATCAGCTAATCCAAAAGAAGGCAGAAAAAGTGAAGAGGAACAAAGAAAAAAATGAGGGGAATAGAAAACAAATAGCAAAATGTTAAGTGTAAGCCTAAGCATATGCGTTATCACCATTAAATGTCAATTCCTTAAATATACCATTAAAAGGCAGAGATTATTAGATTGGATACAATAGCAAAACAGTTATGTTAAGAAGTATGTGAAATATAAAGAAATAAACAGATAAAGTAAAAGGATGGAAAAAATATACCATGGTAATATTAATTAGATGAATGCTGGAGTGGCTATTCTAGGGCATATATATATATATATATATTTAGGAAAATATATTTTTTTGTAGGCAAAAGGCTATCACCAGAAATAAGAAAGTGATATAATGATAAAGGGTCAATTAATCATGTGAACTTAATCATAAATGTTTTTAAACACCTAAAATAAGACCATCAAAATACATGAATCAAAAACTGACTGAACTGCAAGGGGTAATAGATAAATCCATAGTCATTGTTGAGATTTCAGTAAGCCACTTAACAATAATTTATAGAGCACTGAACCTAACAGCAGAATATTCAAGCTTTCCCATTGTACACCCAACAGTCAAGTCCGTATTATGGGTCGTAAAATGAGCCTGAACAATTATAAATGAATAGTATAATACGAATATATAGTCTTTTTGTTTGTAAAGGATCTAAATAACCTCCTACATGCATTGAATGTGATGATGTATGCCAATGTTGCAGTCTTTTTCTTTGACCTAATTAACTCCTAATTTATCTTTAGATTTCTGCTCAGATTTTTCAGACACAATCAAACTTTCCTTCACCTATATGCCTATATCAAGCCTCCTTACTGTAGGCTCACAAAATTCTACAGACTTTTTATCTCGTCATAGTTGCATTTTACATCTGCTTGCAGAATTATTTGAGTGATATCTCTCCTTTTCTTATAAGCTTATTGAGGTTAAAAGTTATTTTTCGTTAATAGTTGATAGTAATAATAATTTGTTCTATGCATATTGTATTAGGGACTATTTATGCAAGGCTGCAGTAGGCCATTCTAAGGATGTTGGTTTTATGTAAAGATAATAGAGATCTATTGAAAGGTTCCTCATAATTAGATGGCAAGTCAGAT